AAATGTGGCCTAAAAAAATATTGGGCCGTTTGTCCAATATGAACTCGTTATTTTGAAATTTTGGGGGTGGGGTCACGCCAAACGGCTCAATATTTGTGTAGGCCACCCTTTTTCTCAATGTTTTTATCAAATTATCAAAGTGGAAAGCAAATGTGTATTGACGAGTTTTTAGTACCTAATTAAATAGACAAAGTTTGCCCCCCTCCAGATTGAAAAGCCCCAATTATAAGAGTTTACGAACTCACGAGTTTACGAAACCATTTACGAACTTTCAGACGGATGATAATAATTCCATAAAAAGGGGTCTGTACCACGGACTATCTTTATTTGGTCAGTTTTTTTAGGCTGTTTTGAGGATTTTTTTCATTATAGAAGTGAGGTATTCTGTATCTGGTCGCTTTCACTTATATGAAATTGTTATCACAGGCGGATCTACGGGGGGAGGGAGAGGGGTTGACTTTCTGGCTGAAGCCCTTCCAAAATGGTAAAATGTAACCATGTTTTATGGTAAAAAATTATATTTTAAAGTATTATTGCTCGTTTAATTACATTTAATAGCACTTCAAAAATCACTCGTTATATATATGAAAAAAAAAGCTTTCGGGCTGAAGTCTCCCCTCCCCCAAAATTAAATCCTGGATCCGCTAGTGATTGGTATCACATATGATGATGTCTGGATGGGTTTAATGTTGACACGTTATTTATTTATTACTGATTAAGAGAATCAAAGCTTTGTTTAAGTACTAATATTTTTGTAACTTTATACCTATGTACACTTTTTATTTATACCTATAATAAATTGGACGATCGCAAAGCGTATCAGATTGTTGAGGAAGTATATACTTACGAAGGATTGACTTTTTAATTAAATAATATTCTAGGCTTCTTACGAAAGCTACTAACGATGCTCAAGAGTTCCGACATTAGAAATTATATTTTTCTGCCCAACATGCTATGACATTTATAAAAGAATACTTTCCCAAGTGAATTTAACAAAGCCATAAATTTTGTGTTGTTTGTTTCGATGTCTAGGCGCAAAACATCCAGGTCATAAGCGCCCGATCAACTAAATAACATCACTTAATACTATTTGGATGGTTGGTACAAAAAAAAAAAATAAATAAAAAAAATAAATAAATAAAATTAAAAAACTTAAAAAAAAGAAAAAAAGAAATGGATTGATAGAATAAAATAAATAAATAAGGATAATAATAGACATTTATTAGGTAATAAGATAGAATGTATAAATAATAAACTTTAAAAAATAGCAGTAAAATCAATAAATGAATTGAGATTAATAAACAAATGAATTTAAAATGAAATCAAATCAAATGAAAAAAAAAAAAAAAATAATAATAAGAGAAAATAGAATAAAAATAAATAGATTAAAAAAATTAATAAATAAAAAAATAATAATAAATCTGCAAAGGATCATTAATTATAAGCCTGTCATATGTGTTTTTTAAGTCTTTCACTATCCAGGAACTTGATGACTTTGGTAACGATTTCTTCTTGATTTTCCAGAGATGCTGATATATTCTGGGGTATTCCGAGATCTTTTAATCTTGCGGTGTAAAAAGGGAATTCTTCCAAAATATGTTTTATAGTTAATGATTGTTGGTCTGATTACATTTAATAGGACTCAAATAATCACGTAAACAACATTTCATATAGATACTTATTTCTTTTCTTTTTTCCGAAGTAATTATCGTAATATATACCTACAAAAAAAAAATCTTTCGGGCTGAACACACCCAAAATTAAATGCTGGATCCGTATTCAGTGATTCAGTCACGTATTCATTATATGAATGAAAAAACGTGTATAATCCAAATTTAAAACGGACGGAACCGCAGAGTTAGTATTATATGTATGTCATCTGTGATTGATTATGATTGGCAAAGAAATATTGTAAACAAATAATAAATCATATATCATAGATAGGTGATTTGGTAGCACTGTTGGATCCATGGGGATGGAGGTTTCGGACTGAAGCCCCAAATAGAAAAAAAAAATGTCATTGGTTCATATTTGTTTCTGATAAAACAATACAATTTGACAAGCATATTAAAAGTCGTAAAAGTATACTGCTATTATGACAATATAGTTAAAGCGAAATTCTATCCGTTTGTGGAAAAATCTAATTATTCGATTGCCGACAGTTGCAAAAAAAAATTTATCCTGAATTTCATAGTAAAACTAAAATAAATAAATAAAGTGTTAACATTTTCGCAAGGGTACAAAGAAAAAAAAAATCGAAACTTCTAAAATATATATTAACTTTTTATCAATATGTTAACTCCATAGATGAAGCATTCTAACCATTTATTTTGTTTTAAAATCCGCATTCTTAAAATTCATATTTTAAGAAATGTAATTCAGTTTATTAAAAACTAGCAAACAGAGCAATGATACTATGATTCTAGAAATAATAATAAAACATATTGTGTAGAATAAGAGTCATTCCGATGTTTTTAATATAGAATACATAAATGTATGTATGTTGGAAGATAACAAAATTTAGTGTATTTTTTTTTCTCTCTAATCGTTTAACTGAGAATTCAGTTCGAGATGATGTAGACAATGCTATTGATTAATACAGCACATTTGCATTCGTCTTTTATTTGCAAAAACTAATACGCATTTTAATGATACCAAAATGTTATTTATTTTTTATACGTTTAAGATATCAATCAACATATGAGTGGCTCATGTCAAAAACGGGCATCTGCAATTTTTAAAACGTCGAAAAAAAACATTTTTTTTTTTTAAAAAGCTTCAATTTTAACCTATTCTAATGATTTCGTTTCATGATTCCACCTGAGTATTCTTAAATAAAATCGTCAGAAACAGTTGGAGTAGAACATATAAAACGAAAATTAGCTATTTCTTCGCTTTTTGCAAATGACAGATGTCTTTGATATGAGCCCACTCATATGTCAATCCTTAGTATTTTTCGTTGATGGAGGCCTTAATATCGCCATATCACTTGTAATTTTAAAATGTTGAACTAGTTATTATTTGTATAAAAACATTAAGATTATTGTCGTACTTGAGTTATTACTCAGAAAGACTTATTTACTTACGTCAACGAGACTCATTTATTATTTTTTGACAAAACAATCAATATTTGTCATCCAGTCATAAATTACAACCACAAGATTGTTAGTTAAAGTGTTTGTAAATTTGAAATTAAAAAAATATAAACATTTACAATTTCAAATTAAACTTCGTTGGAAAATGAAATTTTTCCTTACGTTCTAAGAGTATTGCACAAAATATTTTAAATTCCAATTATAGCATGCGTGACCGGCATGGTTCAGTTTGGTCAAATATGTAAAAAAAAAAAAAACACAAAAATAGTTTTTGATCAAGATAAGAAAGTTTATGGTATAATGAGTGCATACCAAAACTTACTCCTTTATTTCTTTGTTTGCATCTATTTGTTACCTAGCGAATTCTTATAAGATAACAACATGTATCTAACACTATTTAAAAAAATTAAAATTATTGCTTATATTAAATATTATTAAATTAAGGTATGAGGTATGAAAACTTTTCTCTTGTATTCAATTTATTCTAAATAATTCTTATTTATCTAGATACATCCAGGGGTTTATGCCCTCCTCCTCCCCAAGGTCGAAGGCGAATGAACCTTCCCCCTTCTCATTCCAAGATATTTCATTTCTCTCCTCTTCTTAATAACAGTACAAACGATAGTGATATTTAAAAGATCGTAGATCATGTACAAATACACTTTCTGCTGTCTGTTCCCTGTTTTCCTTTTGTCCTTGGTTTGAATCTTTCCATTCCGAAAATTCGTGACCCCGCCGAAATTTACCCCCCTCAAACATTTAATAACGCGTCAAAATGTGTTCTCCTCAAAAATTTTGATGGCGCAACTTACGCCATGAAACTCCCTTCTGGATACATCTGTCTAACGTTTCGAACTCTTTTACCATCCTCAGAGGCACATCATTTTTCACTTATGCGTGTGATTAACATTTGTATTTTTTTTCCTTATTCTATTTGACAATATATATACTAATAATATAATATACTAATAATATATACAATAATATATATATATATACTACCTTGGTCAAGTTTCAATATCACTTCATTATTCAGGCAGTATGATAATGAAAATTGACCAAGGTGTGGTATATAATTGTCAAATAGAATAAAGAAAAAAAAGACAAATGTTAATAACACGCATAAGTCAAAAAGGAGGTGTCTCTGATGGTGGAAAAGGAATTCGAAACGTTAGACAGATGTATCTAGATAAATAAGAATTATTTAGAATAAATTGAATACACGGAAGAGAAAAGTTCCCATACCTTTTTAACTAAAATAACACAAAACTCTTCCTTAAGAAAAATATAAACATTAAATAATATTAAATTAAATATTAATGGCCTTTGGATCTAACATGTGCGAAGTAATATAATTATATATTGAACACATATAGAATTAACTCATTTTTATTTGGTAATTTTACGTATCTACATGAGAATATTAGTTCGCAGTACAGTCCCTTTTTTGTCAAATTATTAACATCCGTCTGAAACTTATTGAATGTTTTCATCTTATCGTAAGCTATAACTTTTTTTATTTACGAAAATTCTCTTTCCTACAAGCTCAATTTCAGAATAATGGTCGAGTTGTCATTCATTTGGATAATTTAAAACCAGATTTATGACATATTAAACTTAACTGGTTAATATTGTATAGCTCTTGTATTGTATCGTTATATTGTAATGTTCTTGAATCTCTTCATACTATGCATTCAGTTTTAGATTGATCACAAATTCAATTTTTTTTAGCCAATTCTAAATGACTTGATTTACACTTTATTTATTCTCGAAAAATCTTGTTTCTCTTTCAGACGAACTAATGTGCGTGAAAGAATTAGAACAAATTAGTTTGTTTTGATTTGGAATTAAAATAAATATTCAATAATAATTTTAAGTAATACAATTGTTGCGGTTTGATTTCAGGTGTAAAAGGTGATGTTGAAAGTGGTGGGCGCCTCCTGGGAGCAGACGAGGTTGACTTCTATACTCCTCTTCATAGTTGTCGTCATAGCCCTGGTCACCATCTTGTTCTTCGAAGTCCCAATGTGAGCAAGACATTCAATTTTATTTATGACTAATAGATGTTAAATGTAAAAGGTATAATCCTTCTAAATTGCTGAAAGTTATTTGATAAAGGCAACAGTTTGGACGAAATATGCGGCAATTTTAGCTCAACATACCGATCTTCATTTCTTTGGTGGATATGTTTAATAAAGAATTTATTTGACTCCTCAATTCGACGGAGAAATAATTTTATTTTTATCTCTAACATTATGAAAGTTCAAACTACAAGCCCGATTTCTCTTAGCTATTGAGAGCAAACATAATACGCTCCATTCAAGTATTAAATTCTCTGAATAATTTTAAAAGAGACAAACGAATTAATTTATTTTTATAATTAAAAAAAATAACTCTCTTATTTATTCACATTATAATCTTTTGATTAAGTTATTAAAATCAAACAGGTTTCTTACCTTTGTAAAATAATTTATATAATATTCCAATATATATACAGTGACAGGCAAAAAATTCCACCCACTTGATTTTTTCATGTTTTCATCTAAAAATATTTCTGCTTTGGATTGGTCTATTGTTTTTAATGAATAAATAGGTAATCTTTTTGTTTATTTTCAATTAGGAATGTTAATATAGAGGACAATAACCCTTAATCCTTAATTCAATGAAATGATTCTAGATTCCAATGTTAACTTTCTATGGAATCAAAATGTTTATTCAGTATCATTAGTTCAGTGCCGTTTCTTGCAGCACATTTCTTAGTCTCCGGCTTTTAATTTTTTCAATATTAAGTTTAAAATGCCTCTTAGTGCTGAGGATGTTGCGCGTGGTGTGGCACTTATTGATGATGGACGTTCCATTAGATATGCAGCTAATCCCATCGGAGTTCCATATGAATCTTTACGAGACGCCGTCAGGCGTTTTCGGGAAACTGGTTCTTACAATAGAAAGCCCGGTTCTGGACAGCCTAGGTTAACAGAACCACGGGATGACCGGTTTTTGATTTTGAGAATTTTACGAAACCGGCACCTTACCGTTGTTCAAGCGATTCATCAGCTCGAAGAAGTTCGAGGTGTTCAAATTTCTGAACGTACCGCTGGGAGAAGATTAAATGAGTATGGATTAATGGCTTTTCGTCCAGTAAGAGGACCAGAGTTGACCTGAACTCACAGAGTAACACGGCTGGCTTTTGCTCGAGAACACAGCCATTGGACTATGGCCGAATGGAGTGCTGTACTTTTTACAGATGATTCAAGATTCGCTCTTCAATCTCCAGACGGGCGTGAAAGGGTGTGGAGAAGAAGAAACGAAAGATATGCAGCCTGTAATTTTTCCCAGAGCCAACCTTTCCAACGTGGTTCCTTAATGGTGTGGGCTGGGAGGGAATGGGGGGTGTGGGAGCGCCGCACAGAATGGAAGAATTTGATTATTTTCTTGAAACTAGCCCATAATGTTCTTGTAACTTTGTTTTTCACTACTCAATATTGAAACTATCCATATATTTTTTAAAAATTCAAGTAACTATAAAAAATATAGATTTTAATGGACCTCTGATCTTATATCACTAACCACAGGATATAGGGAAGGGGTGAGGGGGGGAGAGGGGCTCTCCCTCCCCAAAAATGATAAAATATAACCATGTTATTATAGAAAAAAATATTAAAAACTATCTCTTAAAGTATTATTGTTCGTGTAATTACATTAAATAGGACTTCAAGAATCACTTATACACAATGTCATACAGGTAGTTAGTTTCTTTTTCTTTTTTCAAAAATGAATTATCCTTACATTCAAATTATCATCAGTATCACTATACTACATGACCCACCTTCCACCCTCACCCTCACAATATAGACATACGTAAAATATATTAAGTCATATATATATCATAAATATAATTTATATTATAAGAAAACAAGAAAAAAAAAAGCACTTATGGGCTGAAGCACTCCAAAAACTAAATCCTGGATCCACTAGTGTCACTAACCCAAGTGTCTGAAATTGTTGTGCATCAAGTTCCAACAGACTTCCAACGATCTTTTACCACTAACAAAAAAATAAAAAAATTGTTTTAAATTTTAACAAAACCAGCAAGATGTTTAATATTGTTAGATAATATGTTTTTATTTTGAAATTAGAAAAGAATATTATAATATTGTCTTAGTGCAGAAATTTATTGCATTAAAAAAAAATGGAAAAGATATTTTATTTGCATTTTCATAAATATATATAGTTTAAATAACTAGTTAAATGAAAAATTTGCCAACAGAATTAATTGATATAAAAATATTTTTTAATTTATATTTTGTTACTTTCTTTTATCAGAACAATGTTGGCTAATTTTAATCAGTTAAATACAGGGCAAGCCAATAAACTCAGAATTGAGCTCATCATTTTACCCAGTTTACCATGGAGGCGGTTTGATGCGATTGATGAAGTCAGCACTGAATTTAGGAACTTGTCCTGATTTGTTTAACCAATTGTAAGAATGAATAATTATCCTAACCATTCAATGAAATTTCATATTTTTTATAATTTACAGTGATGCTAATGATGGCATATATTCGGCAACTGCATTCTACAGTAAGCAGAGTGGCTTCAACATCAAATTTTGGGGTCAGAATAATCATCCCCATAAGGTGAAGAAAGGAATTGTGAGGGCTTATTATAAACCTACAACACACCAAACTGGGTTAGTCATCATAATTTTAATAAACATACATTAATAAATAAAAATAACTTCTTGTTTTCCACATTACTTAAATAAATATTAATAAATAAAAATAACTTGTTAAAATATATATCTTCTGGATCATATGATAATATGTTGTCACCTTAATTTTAATTCTGCTGTATATATTTCTAGCAAAAATTTGATGAATATTCTGACTAAGATATATTTTACCTCATATGTTATACTCTTTCAAGTAAAAAAACTTGCTATATAAGTGCTGTTATTTATTTAATGTCTATTGGAACCTATATGCCCTCTAACTTATTCTACTCAATGTTATGATTGTTACAAAATGGCATAATTTTTATAAACCTTCAGTATGAATTAAATCTCAAATTTCACAATACGTAGTGTTTGTTGGTTTATCTTGGGAAAGTTCTTAAAAAGTAGTTTACATAGAGAATACCTAACCTTTCTGGATGTGCTTTTTCTTTACCATCAACAATGTAGATTTAATTTTCTTTTGTTTTGTTTTTTTGTGCATTAAATAAATTTTAAATATGCATTTAAGTAAATTAAAAAAAAAAAAATTATTTATGATTTTCCAATTTAAGCATTTTTGCAGTCATTGGGAATTCTTCTCTGGGCTCCAGGAGAGTGTTATAACAAAGTTTTACTGTATTTAGTTATTTCATTTTATTGATTAAGTTTGAATTGTGTTGTTTATATCTAATACATTTTGTTGCATTTTAAGACAAATAATAATCAATACTATTTTTTAAAGGTGGGCGAGTATAGAGATTGAAACTCAGTCAAAATACCCAGATTGGGCTCAGGCCTTTGGTGCGGGACTCTTGGAAGGAAGCCTCAGTTGGCAGTTGATCTATTCACGTTGGATGAACATCATTGGTACCAAGTGCCAGAACAATCAGGAGCAATGCAATGCTATTCGGGCCAAGTTGAGGGACATGGAAACTGCTGCTAAGGCAAAGGCGAAGAAAGCTGATCTGACAGATCACTATTGGCATCAGGTAATTGCAATTGATTGATTTATTTCCAGATAGTTACTATTAGAATTGCATTAATTAAACAGCAAATAATTTATGTTTGAGTGCAAAATTTTATTGTGAAAGAAGTGTTTTTACAACTTCAAACTTGCAATATTAAAGAAGTATCTTTATGAACAGCTTTATTGTTTGTATTATGAGGAACATTAAGGATTTTAAGGAACTGGTTAGGAAATGAGATTATAAATTACTGATTTTTTATGAGAATAGAAATTATAACTGACAGTGCTGTAGCATTAAAAGTGATATCAAAGTCTTCAAAGATAATTATTTTATGACATAATATTAAAGTGTATTGAAGATTTAATTCAGAATTTTCAGAAGTGGGGATTTATTATTGAAATTTGATGTTAATTTTAAGCTTTTTGATCAATACGATCCAATAAAGCATGAAAATATGCCTGTTTTTATTTTGAATTCGGTCTAGTTTATCATCTATGATAATAAAATTTCTGAATTGGTCTCTTCTTAAACTAAAATCCTAGACCGTACCTCTTTCTAGGATAAGATCTGTTATACTAAAGGTTCAAATGTAGAAAGGTTCAATTGGATGTATCATAGGTTTGTGACAATTGGTCCCTATTACTACTTTCTAAATTATTACTTACTTAACCTCCTGTATTTAAACTCCAAACTAAGTGTTAGATTTTTGTGTGGATACGATCCAGTTATATTTTCTGATTGCTTTTCATGCCTCCATTGTTCAGTTCTTCTATTCTTGTTCATAGCTGTGATCGGAAGTAGATTCCAGAGCCACACTTCGGAACAATGGGGTTTGGTTTCTACATGTTTTCTTATTTTTCTATATAGCATTTCTGTTCTGGTCATGATGCAACAACAACCTTGAGATATACTGTAACATGTAATTCAGTTGTTACCAAAATTAAACATTTTTTAAATCTTTTAAGCTTATGTAGTCAAAAGTTCAAAATAAATTACTATGGAAGTATATAGATTAGTTGAAAAATGTATATCCTTATTCATTTATTTTCAATTGTCAAATTAACTAAATTCATAAGGAAAATTATATAGAGCTTTAGTTACATTTTTGTAGTAACATGAAAATAAAGTAATATAATTGCAAAAAATAAATAAATAAAAAAAATTCTTATATTTCAATTGTAACCATCTAATTCTTTTAACAGGTAAATCTGTATTATACTCAGCTAGATGGGCTAGAGGAAGGTTGGAAACTTGGTGTTTCCAGGAGCAGGAAAAAAAAACAACTAAACATTCTGCATGAAGATTTTCTGTGAGTAGAACGTTTAGTTACTACTATTATTCACCCACACACCAGACTTAAAAGACAACAACTTAACAGACGATACGGACAACTATATAGACTATTGAATAGAAAATCTCAACTTTCAGTCGACAACAAACTATTAATCTACAAGACAATCCTGAAACCTATTTGGACCTACGGAATAGAACTATGGGGGACAGCAAAACTTTCTAACATCAAACGCATTCAATCCTTCCAGTCTAAAATCCTCCGAACAATAGTCGATGCTCCCTTCTATGTATCCAACAAAACCCTCCATAATGACCTTCATATTCCATTTGTTATTGACCTAATCCCAGAAAATTTTTCCAAATTTCACCAGAAACTCACTCATCATCCAAATCCTGTAGCACAATCCCTATCTAGCTCCAGCCATCCCTACAATCCTCCCCGGAGGTTAAAACGGCAGTGGCCCCGCGACCTTTTGTAAATATGTATATATTGGAGTACTGGCAATGGCCAGATTCTCCACTCAAGACATGAGCGTCTGTTGCTATAGTGCCCTCCATCAGTTTCCACTGGTTTCAAATAACAGTGACGCGGCTGAGAGAGAAGCACTGGGATCTCCTGGAGTCCTGCCTTGGCTTCCACGTCGGGGAGTAAGGCATGACTCAGAGTCCCCTGGGTGAATGTAAATATTGTACATAGGTGTGAATGTGATTTATTTACTTTAATTTCATCTAGCTTTTATCTATTATTTCATTATTTTTTTTGTACCCAGGCATACCAATTTACTTATTTTATTTTTTTTATATTTCTTTTTCTTTATTATTGATATTAAGTGTATGTACATATTGTGTGAATGAATCATGTAGCCTTAATATATATGCCCTTCAATGTGGCAGAATGTATTGATATTCAATAAAGAAAGTTAAAAAAAAAACAAAAAAAAACTATTATTCAAAAATGTTTATATAAAATTTCTTACCAAAATATTTTTAACCCCATATAGCTGGATGAACAGTGTAGAAGATATCAAGAATCTGGAGGAACTGAGATACAATAACATAGATGAATTCAGAAATTCAAAGCAATACGTATCATTGGCGCTGTTGAAACTGCTTCCCAATACAACTGTTCAGTTCATGTTGGCACACGAATCAGGAGGACCGTAAGTATATGAGTGAAATTATTTAACAGTAGATTAGATTTATTACTATTACAGAAATATTTACACATTCAGTATTTTCAACTGATTATACACGAGTAAAATATACGAATTAATTGAAATACACGAGTTAATCCAGTTAATAAAGTTGTGTACACATTTATTGATTATTGTATGTAAAATAAAATACATACTTATATAAATAATACATAAAATTTATATACTTACAAAAACAAGTGACTAATCTACAATACCACACTGATACCTATTTGGACATACAGAGCAGAACTTTAGGATTCCGCAAAACATGTCCACATAAACAAAATTCAAATCGCACAATCCAAAATACTTCATGAAATCGTAAATGCACCTTGGTTTATTTCAAATCACACCATACACAACGACATGAGCATAACATCAGTAAAATCCTACATACATAACATTCCACTCTTCTACTCTCACTCTACTCTACTTTTCCTATCGCTTTCTTCCTCCCTGTTACCTGGTAAGCCTCAACAACAACTAAAAAGGCAGTGGCCTAGAGATCTTCTGCTAACAATATAAATAAATATCAAGATAAAAAAAAGAAAAGTGAATTAACAGCTCGATATGTTACAACCTGGCATATGCAATGTCAAATAAAATAAAATCAATTAATAATAATATTATACATATAAATGTTGTAGATTTACATCCTAATGAAAATCCCCTGTAAACCGATCACTCATATACAACAATTAACTCAGGTTAATGATATTATAGTGTAAAACCATAAAGTGATCAAGATATGACTTGTTGCTTATGATTGTTATGCCTATTATAAAACTATATGTATATACAGTTCCTCTACAATTATGAACTAATTTGTTTTTAATTTTTTTATTAGATATACAGAAATGTTGAGGATGCAAAAGAAATATATATTTGGCTATCATTACACTTCTTCCAACAAAAGCAATCTAGTACCTGGCGAAACTATTGTTTTCACATCTTATCCAGGTGCTATATATTCTTTGGATGACTTTTATCAGGTAAATAATTATTTGTAAGCTAATTAATGCTTCATGTAGTTACAAAAAGTTATACAAATATATCAATATCACTACTATTTATGTAGAAGGTCTTATGTAAAATTTTTTAAGTTTTATTCTGTTTGTGCATGTGCAGTAAGGTGAATTTTTTACTCTGCAACTGCTATAAGTACTCTACTACTATGGAAAATAGCAGAGATAAATAAAATATGAAATTATATTTTAAATTATAATGAAATAAACATTTTTTAAAGCTCTCTGTAATACTCTAAATTTTTACATACAATCTTTTGCACTAACAGTAGTAATATGCAATGTTGGGTTTTGTTCTAAGATCACTAAAAATAATTAATGTATTTTACAAAATAATTTAGATTAGAAATAATAATAATAATAGAGTTAAGTTTCTTGATAATCTGATTTTATTTCAAAGATCTCTGGTGGAAATGCATTGACGGTATCTGGAACAGCTATGAGGATGTTAAATTACAGCGTATTGGAAAAAATAGATTTTAATAAGGTATGTATTTTATATTTTTATATTTTGTAGATATCATCCACACTATGTTAAAGTAACAAATATACAACATTGGACAGATTAGCATTCATTGTTTTAACATAGTGCTGGCGATATATGTATTTGTTTGGTTTTTTAATTTTAAACTAATTTTATGTACTTATGTTATTCTAGATTTTTATTAATTTATTATTATTATATGTATTTAATATTTTAAAATTTTAGTTATTAGATAGATAGGTTTTAATTTTTATGTAAGGAATGACATCTAAATGTAATGCATATTGATAGTAAGCAGTTAAAATACAAATTATAACAAGTTGCATTATAAATATATTGAAATTATTAGTTTTTATAAATTGTTTAATAAAGATTTATTGTATGTTGTAAGTATAGGAACCCACAATAATTTGGCAGCACTCTTTTATAGTTAAATTTTAACTTAATACTAGCTTGTGATTTCATGAAAAATAACTTAATACAAATATTCAAATATTGTGCTCATCAAAGAACAATTCAGATTGGAGCAGCATCTCAGGAATCAATTTCACTTTTAGTTTGGAGTAAAAAGAGATGATAACACAAAAGTTTTATTTTTTTCAATTTCTTTTGTTTTCTTTCTTCACAATTGAAATTTTAGGCTAAAAAAAAAAAGAAGTAAAAGGGTACTGTATGGTTTTCATTAGAGAAAAAGATAAACTAATTCATTGTTTTTTTTTGTTTGTTTTTTCATCCTATCAAACATACATTCTTCTCTTTCCACCATACTTATGGTCAATCTGTATTATAAATATATATCGTATAATATAAATATGCTAATATAAATTTTGAATGTATTATAATTAGTTGAACATATTGTTATAAAATCTATTTTACAGAGAATTCTTTATGATCTTTTCAAATGAGTTAGTTAAGATTGTCTGATTTTTATAGATATTGATCGGCCCAAGAGTGATGGCCGCTTGCCGACTATCAAGGAAAGGGCAGGACTGGGCAGATTTGATCGACATCGAAGAAAGTGGAACTGGAGGCAAGCAATGGCTAGTGGTAGACACCAAAGGACCTCTTTCCTTCTGGGTTGTCGAACAAGGTCCTGGCATAACGGTTGGCTCTCTAGAAACAGACATTTTAGCAAATCAAGGATACTGGCTATCAACAGGAATTCCACATTTTGAGGTGATTATTAAATTTACGCAGTAGTGAATATCAGATTCCTACTAATCAATTTTATTACAATAAATAGCTTAAAAGAAGAATATTATCACAAAAATATTTCTGTTTCTAGAAATTGAGATCTATTTTGGGTTATGATGATATTTCAAAGACTAGATTCGGTAAAGCAGTGGATATGTTGAAGACGGGCCTTCGGAATGTCACAAATCCTGGTGAACTCCTAGAACTGATGCATAAACCAGAACTTGTCGCTTTAGGAAGGCCTGATATAATCAAGTATAATAATGAATATCAAGAGAAAACTACTAACCCTACTAATGGTGGTGTTATTGATCTCAAGGTATTTGAATTCAGATTACTTTTATTAATTTATAATTGACAACTGTATGAAGGATACTATTAAATAAGTTATAAGAAAGAATCCCAAAACTACAAGTGTATAAAATATTATTATACTAAAACCCTTTAAAATAATAAATCTGTGGCTTGAACAACAAATTATTGGAGCAAGGTCCATCAATTTGACTACCACTTTAAAGATATTTTGTCTGAAAATTGTACGAAAATTTACATGGAATACACAATCTCTTACAGTCTCAATTTCAGTTGTCTACTCTGGTTATGCTAGAATTATCAGTTGCAATTATTTATCCAAAAATGATCTTAGCAGCTATACAATTTTTTTTTTTTTTAATTCTGGAGATGAAATGTTCTTAAAGTATATTTCAGTTTATTAAGAATAAATAAATAAGCTTTTAATTGTTTTCAAACCAAGTTTGATTTTAAAAAGTTATCTCAATTTACTTGCAGATTTATCATTCTAATAATATTGAATACAATTATATATTCTATTTTCTTTTATTCATTTTGGCTACCTTGCCGATTTCTGCAACCCCTGAGTCCAATCCTTCTTGTGGAATTTAATTACCAGCTACTTTACACAATATTAAAGTATTTACTATACGTGTTTTAGTAATTCTAAAAAAATAGAATTAGCTAATTAATTGTTTTTAAATGTTATTTTACAAATTCATACAGTATTTCTCTTTTTCTACTTGAGAAAGTTGTAATAGCTCAGTTTGTAAAACAGAAATTTATTTTGTGAGAAATTAGTTACTGATCATTAATTTCTCCTTTCTCCTTTACTATAAATAATCAGTAAGAGATGTGTCTCATTTTTTAATTTACCTCACTAATTATACCTAATAGCTTACCTTACTTAGCATTTTATTGTAACCTATTGCTCTTATCTTTTTACAGATAGCCATTGGTAACAACGATTATTTGGCAACTGCTGGTCCATTGCATTCCGATGAAGTTCCTCCATTCCAGTGGTCAAACAGTATTCTCCAATATCTACCTCACTACGGTCAGCCTGATGTGTGGAAATTTGAACCAGTACACCCGCCTTGGGTTTGGCATTAGTTTTAGAAACATTTAGGTTAAGGAATTCAGAATTTCACTGTCTTCATCATTAATATTCATAATATGAATAATTTTAACTTTGATATAAAGTTTATTTATTTAATACTACATGAAACATTTTATTTTTAATTATGCTTGTTTATAACCAATGATAATTTAAAACAATTCAGTACATCATCGTACATAATTGAATATAAGAAGTAAAAGGAAATTAAGATTTATAAATAACGAATCAATTTCATCAAGGTATCATGGAATTTAATTGAAATATATAAATTATTTTATTTTTTAATCTATATCTCATATTTTAAAAATAAAATGAAGTTTAAAAATATAGACATGTAAAATAAAGATTATTTTATTTTTTAATCTATACATCAATTTTTAAAAAACAATATGAACTTAAAAATACAGACATATAAATAATGAAATGTACGTCATGGATCATTTGGACTGTGATGTATTTTATGATTTATTGCATTTTAATTTCAAAATAATGGTCAAAATGTCTGTTTTTTAGTGTATGGATATAGTGTACTTACATGATTTCTGTTCATGACTAAAATGTAAAAACAATTGTCTTTGTGTTTGTATTGACTTCTAAATTGAGGTTATAAAATAATTTTTATAAGTATTTTTGTACTATTTATAACTTTATAAGACTAAATGAATGTTAACTGAAAATTGTGATGTTTTCTAAATAAAGCTGTGATCTTTTGTAAAAATGTGTTAGTTATTTTGTTACTTTATATCTGAAGAATCACAATAGTAGGGGGACCGGAAAATATTGTCATTATCAGTAACCTTTTGCCATCTAGTGTGCAAATTTTCAATGCAGGATCGATAAAAATCCATTGGTTTTTTTTATATATTACAAAATATATAGAGTTAGAACATCGAATTTTGGACATCATTCAAATTTGCAAATATTTTGGCCCTTAAAAAGTGTTGAAACAATCCGAACAAATGGAAATCCAACGGTGCGACATAGGGCGAGTATGGTGGATGAGACAGTATATGCTACCCCAATTCAGTAATTTTTTCTAGAATTTGTCTTACTCAGTGCGATTTTGCATTTTCGTGTTGCAGAATAATGCCTTTCCTATTGAAAATCGCTAGCCACTTTTCAAGATTGATTTACACGATCCAATTTTTCACAATTAAGGTCTGCATTCACAGTTTGTCCAGGTTTCAGCACTTAAAAATGAACATCAGTAATATTCCTCAAACACACACCAGGCCTTTTTTGGGGTGTAAATCTGGCTTAGTAGTACTTTGTGACGATTATTTTGGAGAGAGCCACTGCCTTTTGCATTTTGGATTATCATATAGGATCCAATTTTTATCTCTGGTGATCAAGCGATCAAAAAACGCTTCTGTATTGTATTGTTGAAGCAATAAGTTGCATGTGGCTTAAGTTACTTTCTGGTCCCCCAGATATTTTTTTTCTCACTAATTATACAGTGACAGAATTCTTTTTACAATGCTCATCCTAATTTCCTTACCCTTTGACACCTTTCTCTTTTTCCATGCCTATCTAGATCAGGTGGCCAGAATCCAACCCTTTCAGGTTTAGAGGATGAACATCTATTTACCATCAGGCACTTTCAAAGTGAAACCCTTCAATTTCAACAAAGAAACGTAATAGTATTTCTTTTACTATTCTTCGGATTTTTTTTTTTTTTTTTTTGGTTTTAATCATTTGCAGCTCATTTTCATCAGTTAATGGGCTGGTTACATTATTAAACCACAGAGCTTAACATTTTTATTATTGTTCATAAGTTTTAATATTTACTTGATCAAGATCAGATATCTACTATTTGGCCCATTTGAATAATTCCCTTATCATATTAGATCAGGTATAGATTTTTGTTTTTTCTATTTAAAAATAATAATATGGCATTAGTTATTACGATTCTGAGAATTAAAGACCTTAAATCAAGAACCAGTTAAGTCCAGATTTACACCAATTAATGACAAATTTACTATTGGTGGATGGTGTCTTTCTCACTTTATTTACAATTTAGGAGAGGATTGATGTTACATTTGAGTCCGATATTCTTGCTAATGCAAGCAGAAAAATTATCTGCAGGAAAACATTTTTCATAAAAATTAGACTAATCAGGTTATTGTATCAAGAACTGCTCTCAATTAGTATGTACATTACCTGTGGAAGTTAATCATACTTCCTTCCTTTATTTCTCATACATATGATTACTGTTTTCTAAACTGGGCCACAACTTTATTCTGGTAGCTAGAGGCGCTATACACACTGAGTGAGACCCAATTCTAGCTAGATCTTCAAATCTTTAGAAAAAATCAACATGGGTTTGGGAAATCTAGGGTAAATCTCTATAGTTAGATGATAATTCTTATAAACTGAACTGTCTTTAAAAAGTAAATTGATAAATTTAAAATTTCAGTTTTAAACTCTGTTTTTTCTATATATAGATAAGCTTGAGTAAAACAAACAAAATATTAATAAGTTATTTCTCAACAGACTGAAAGTTTTTTAATTATATCTAGTGTAGATATTTATGATGATGGAAGACAGCAAGAAAACAAAAATACAAAATAACATTAATTACAATACATAATGTATATATATAAAAAAAAATTGATATCTTGAAAATAAAATATAAAACTTTTATAAAATTTAATCATAAAATTCAAAAGATTTCACTTTTTTCTTGTACCAAGAATTGCCTCTTGCTTGAATAATGCCTTGCATCCTTGTTAGTATATTGCAAATAATAATAGTAAATCCATCAGGAGGAATATGATCACATTCCTCTTTTACAGTAATTATTAGTTCACAAAAAGATTCAGGTCATTATCGATTGCACCTCCCAAGTTAGTCCCATTGCCATTCCAAGGTATTTACATCGAACTTGAGCAGTTAGTTCTTGACAACATTCGCAACATGCAGCCAGACATTTTATGCATAAGCAGGAAATTATTGCCAAATAAAAATGCAAAATTTCTACATGCACCTCGAGAATATTCATGATACATGATGTTCATAGATTGAGCAGTGGTCTCTGTAATAAACAGAGGTCTATTCGTCTCTAAATAAATCCATCTCCAATTCTTTCCAAAGTGATACTTCAATTATTATTTAATACGTAATTTCAGTGTCAGTAATCCTTCTTCACATATATGATTATTCAACAACCTAATATGTAATTGGAGGTGATAAAAATAATCACTTCAATTTTGGCTTATTTCCTTATTTTATTATAGCTAACAGAGTAATTAAATCAAATTTTTTTTCTTGTCCATCAAGACTACAATGGATCATTGATGCCAAGGGGATGATGACAAAATATTAATCTGTTTTCACATTATTGTAATAATTCTTGAACAAAATTGAAAAGTTGTGGCTGTCCCTATACTTCATTTTAACCTATTATTTAAAAAAAAGTTATTCCTATCTAATTTTTAATTTTATCTACATTATTTAATATTTCTTTTTTTCTTAAAACTAACAGATGGTTAGAAAGAAGAATGAACAAAGTTACCTCAGAACTTTATAAAGAAAATTAATATTTATATAATAAATAACTATTTAATTTCTATATAATCATAAAATATCAGCAAACAAACAATCTTAAATAAACATTCATAATAATAAACAGGAAGATGACTAAAGTTTTTTCTCTGCAGGCATAAACTTTAAAATGATAAAATTTTATATAATTTTTAAGTTTCTACCTCAAATCGCAATTTTTTTTTCTTGCTTAAATTTAATTTTTTGGTCACTGCAAATGGTAACAAACGAAATCAGACTAAACCACATTTAAAAGACTCAGTATCACAAAAATATTTATAACATGATAGACTTATTTTCAGGTTTAATTAATATAAGAGTAGGCCAGCAGATTCTCATGGTTTCAATGATAACAATAGAAATAATAACTTATCACTAATTCTAGATATAAATATTTAAGAGTAGGATCAGAAGAATTATAAGTGTTGCCTATGATTTTTAAATATATAGAAACATCAATGACCAATGGCTTAAGATATCTCTGAAAGAAAATTTTTAACAAGGAAACTGTTTTAAACACAAGAAAGATAAAAGAAAACTTGGCAAACAATTATTATTATATTTTTTTATATAAATTTGATTATTATAGTTTTATAAAGGAAGTTAAAAAAAAATAAAGAAAATGACATTTAGGTTATGTCAGAGTCAGTTACTAATATTCCCCAAAGATAGTAGCACATCTGAGCAGAGCAAGTGGAATGAAAATACAACTCCAAGACTGGTTCAAGAAGCAAGAAAGTGATTAGTCTTCCTCTGGGAACCCATCTCAAGAGGTATGAATAAGATAACATTTTCATAACAGTAATTTTTCTTAAAATTTTCATAAGATGTCTCATTAGCCATTTTTTTTTTTTTTAGATAAGCATGAATTTGATGAAGGAAGGTTGGTTTACTGAATCAAGTGAACTATGGCCAGGTCTGACATTATCAATGGAAGTATCAAAAGTCCTTCATCGAGAAAAATCAGATTATCAAGATATTATTTTTCTGGAAACGTAATACCTTATTTAAAAATTGAATTCCAATTTAATAATAATTAATCAAATTTTGTTAATTTATTAAGCTAGGTATAAGTTTATTAATTGAAATAAATTTAAAAAATCTTAATATTCAACTATCAAAATATTGATTTACATTTTTATTTTTTTTATGTCATAACTTCTCACTTGTTAAATGATTACGACAACTGTGAACTGAATCAGAACTATTTATTTTTTGTTCAAGAACAAATTATTTAGTAAAAGAGGTGGTCCTATAGAGTATACAATTGTGGAAATTAAAATATGGATTGCTTAATTTTTAATAATATAATCAAAACTTGGTATCTTGGGTCTGATACAAAATAGTAATTTTAAATAAAAAAAAAAATTTAAATAAAATATTACCTATTTTGAGCTACATTGAATCTCTTTATAAAAAATAATAAGAAATGAATTAATTTGTGTTTAGGAAAGATGAGATAATTGAAAAATCCTGTGGGATCAATTATAATTTAGATAACACTCATTTATACAAATGGTATTTGTTAGTACTTTTTATTTTACAAAATTGAATTCCTCTCTCCTTGAAGATCTCAGATCATAACTTTATTATTAGCAATTTTAGTATCTACTTAAAACATTTGCTTTTGTAATTTGTAGGAAAGCATGTGGCAGAGCACTTATTTTGGATGGTATTATCCAATGTACAGAATTGGATGAATTTTCATATCAAGAAATGATTTCATTTTTACCTCTCTTCAGTCATCCGAATCCTAAGAAAGTACTTGTTCATTTGTTTATTTTTATAAATAGAAATATATTGACTATAATTTCATTACCACAAATATATGAATAACAATACTTATTTCTCACTTAATGAAGAAGTATTTCATTTTTAAAAAATCTTATTCATTACATTTTTAATTAAATAAAATAGAATCAAATCACTTTTTATATAACTAGGACCATTATGTCTACAATCAAAAATATGATTAGATAATAATAAAATCTGCTGGCACACAACACAAAAAATCATTGTAGTAGTTATCAGATGAAATTCTTCTTTTTTTCTAGACCTAATCTACAATGCCATATTAAAAAAGATAGACACGTGCCATTGAAAAAATGGTTCTCATTAAAATACTTTGTCCACAAAACTATGTGAAAAATTAAACAATTCTTAAACTAACAAAATATGATAAAATACTTAATTAATTAATAAACATTAATCATTAATTTAATTTACAAAACTGATGAAACAGATTATGAATATGTTTTGATTACCATTCATTTAGATTCTTTTATTTAATAGGTCTTGATAGTAGGAGGCGGAGATGGAGGTGTGGCAAGAGAAGTTTGTAAACACCCGTCTGTAACAGAGGTCTCTCAGGTTGAAATTGATCAACGTGTCATTGACCTGTCTAAACAGTATCTTCCCAAAATGGCAGTTGGGCTTTCGCATCCTAAACTCAAATTATATGTTGAGGACGGATTTAAATTTATGGAAAGACATCAAGCAGAATTCGATGTTATCATTACTGACTCATCGGATCCAGTTGGTAAACAATTTATCCGAGTACTACTGATTAATTAATTATATAAGTTGATTATTTCAAGAAATTAGAACAAACATAATTTTAGTTAAATTTTAAACAGTATTTATGTATTAAAAAAAAAAAATCAAAAAGTATGAAGTTCCAAAATTATCAAATTAATATGATTATATAAGTTAATTAAAAAGTAGATAGGCCGCGACAATCTACCAGCAGACTCAAATTAAAAAATTGCTATTTTAGACACAAAAATTGACTATAGTTCGGAGATTTCAAACTGTGCTATATGATACTTATATATTAACAGTTGAATAAAAACGTAGTCTGCCTATGATAGGCTGCGGCAATCTACTGGCAGACTCAAATTCAAAAATTGCAATTTTATATGCAAAATGCATTAGAGTGCTACCATTGGGTAGTTACTCAGCAAGTGTATTCATGCCATTATATCTATTATGTCCAAATTTACTAGATGTATTTATGTAATACAGTTGTAAATGTCATTAAGAAATAAAAAAAAAAAAGATGCATAAATTGACTATAGTTAGGAGATTTGAAACTTCGCTATGTGATACTTATACATTAACAGTTAAATAAAAGCGTAGTCTGCCTATGCTAGGTCGTGGCCATCTATTGGCAGACTCAAATTCAAAAATTGTAATTTTAGGTGCAAAAAATAACCAAAGTTCGGAGACTTCAATTTTCACTATATAATCCCTTCTTACCAATAGTTCATTAAAAATGAAGTCTGCCATCCAGAGACCATTGCTTTCAGTAGTTAGAGTGAGCTTGAATGTAAGAAACTATAGCGAAAAAAAAGATTGAAGTATCATGTGATCGCTTGTAATGAATCATTTATTATTATAAATCTGCAAGAAAACTGAAAGAAACTACCACTGGTCATCACACAGAGAAAATAATGTTCCGTAGCAGTTCATAATTGCAATATTGTTAAAATGTTTCAACAAACTTGTCATTTTTGAAAGAGAACATTTAAAATAAACAGTCATTATAATTTGTTGGTAAAAATGAAATATAAATAAATCTTAAAATGATAATTCAATATCTTCTTTCTTTTTTTTTTAATGTCATACACAAACAATTGTTAGCCAATATGTATGTTGCCCCTGACTACAGAATATAAAAACACAAATGTTATAAAATGACAAATTGTTCCCAAAACGTTGAAAAAATGTAAAAGAATGTGATAAATAAAAATTTGCAACAGTTCCAAGTATTGCTAATTTTATCTATAATTATTTAAGAATTGTTGTATCGATAGAACAAATTTTAGTTGTTATTTATTATTTAAAATAACTTTTTTTAATAAATAATTTTGATTAAATTTTAATAAAATTTATACATATATTAATAATAGGAAGAATTTTGCCTTTTTAACTTAAAATTTATTCCAATAAGAAACATCAAAGAAATAATCCTTGGCAATAACGTGCACAAAAAGAAATCTGCATGTATGGCATATAAAAAAATGTTTAATTTTTTAAAGAATGCGTAACACAATGCATATATATATTTTCTTTATCTATTAGGACCAGCTATACCATTATTTCAAAAGAACTACTTTGAATTAATGAGGAGTGCCTTGAAACCTGGAGGTATCGTGTGTTCACAAGTTGGAACACCATGGACAAATCTTGACATAGTTTGTAAAACATACAAAATTTGTCAAGAAACGTTCCCAGTTGCATCTTATGGCTACACCTGCGTGCCAACCTACCCTACAGGGCAAATCGGCTTCGTATTAGGAAGTTTAAATAAGGTGAGTTTAAATCTAAATTATATCCTAAAAGATTGAATGTTGTAAATTAACTATTCTAAATACGGAAAGGCCATAATGGCATGTAACCCCAGGGTGGGTTAAAAAATATTTTTTGGTGGACCCACAGAATAAATCTCGACATTCCCACTCGGTTTATAATAGGTTTAGTTGTACCTCTAAAACAATTCCCTCATGTACCAGAAATGGCAAGGTAGATATACAAAAAACAAAAAAAAACAAAAAAACAAGAGAAAAAATCTAATGTCGTTATTTTCAGTTAATATGCGACTTAATGAAATAAGAAGTGATTAATAAAAATTGTACCAGAATAATACTCTTAAAATATTTTAAAATATGAAAATTATGAAACAGAATTAGTTTTTTGTTTTAGCTATTGCACTCAATCAGTCAGACAACACATACTATACAGTACCATTTACTGCTACCTTGAAAATTATTGAATCCCAAAAGCTATAATTATTATTATGTAATATATACATTTGATCCATTGTGATAATTATTTATAACTAAATACATTGCAATTAAAAAAATCTCTATCTTAAAAAAAATGCTTAAAAATTGGATAAGGTATATTTCAGAAAAATGAACGATAAAACTTTAATCCTTATGTTTTCTAAAAATTTGAATGAAAATAAATTAAAGTCGATTATGATTTTTTTTTGTCTAGTCTTAAAAACATAAATTTAACACAAACCATTTTTCATAAGAATTCCTTTTGTAATCTTGTATATCGGAAATAGATATTTTATGTTTATAATAATCATTCAATGTCTTCTTTTCTATGTTTGAAAATCGCAAAATAACAAGAATAAAATGAAAAATTGAAAATCTGTTTCTTTTTCAAAATTATGTTTCATAAAGCTTGATTAGTATTGTATTAATTAATCCACGAGTGTTAGTTCATTTACAGAATTCGTCTTTCCATGAGTTCAATAGCTTCCAAATATTCTTCATCCCTAAAATCAATGCTTTCTATAAATGATGTATCAATAATGAAACTAAAAATAACAACAAAATATCATCAGTTTATTGCAAAAAGTCATAAATAACATTTTATAACTTAAATCGATAAGAATTTTGCCTTTGTAAAATTGCACTTGCTGTACCCATGTTTGATATAAAACAAGAGTTTGCATAATTTTAGTTCACTTACTGTTATTTTTTTGATAAATTAAGTCAAAATTCACAAAAACATTCTTGAAAGTTCAGCTCCATCAAAAATACACTCAGTAACTTTTTAAAAAAAAACAACAATGTATTAATTTCCAGCTTAAATGATTTTCCAGATAACATATCTTATTATTCTTTTTATCATTTACAGATAATTCATTTTAAATTTAAAACTTTTTCTCAATTTAATCCTACTCAGAATGAACAACATGGCATTATATTAGTTAGTCCTTCTAGCACAAAAAAATGAGATTCAAAAACAGAAAATAAGTTACCCGAATTGCTTAATCAACATTCATTAATATAATGGATATGGTTCTCTCTTCAAAATGAGTGAACAAAATTATACTTTATTCATTTATAGAATTTTTATAAAATGGGATTGCCTCGATACATATTGAGTGGACTTGCATACATAGTTGAATTTCAAGTTATTTTGTAAAACAAACATTAACTGTAAAATATTTTTGTTACCTTACTACTACAGTACAATAGAATCAAAATATGGCTACTTTCAAAAACTTTTCAAAGAATGTTATCTCTTATTTTTTTTTATTAACTGATTGATTCAATTGGGAGGAAAAGGTTTAATTTAGAAATAAAATAATAATTAGTATGGTTACTCTGCCTAACAAAAAGTTAAAATGAAAACACATATACGGGAAATACATGTATCTTGAATCACTTTCTTCAATGGTCCATAACTTCTAAAATAACAATGATTTTTAGAAGTTCAAAATAGAATTTTTTTCGTCATGCTTTCAAGATACTATATAAATTTTTACATTATTTTATCAACAGATTTTTGACTATGAAAAAAATTCATTTTTAAAAATAATAAATGGCCCGATGTACAATCACTATAATTGTATCTTCGGCCATACTATATCGTACCTTGGGCAATATTTGTTGTAATAGGAATTATAATTATTATTCAATAATATGTATCGCTTATCTATACTGGTAAGCTAACTTCTTCATTTCATCTCTGTTGAAAGTCCATAATATATTACGCTTGCAGTCAGTGAATAATCTTTTATAAACTTCTTCAGTAAAATCCATTAATCAAAGATTTATTCTCACAAGAAAAATATTTTGACATTCTATTAACGTACCTTGGGCCGACCCAGTACATTATAAAACAGTGGCCCAAGGTACAATGATATGTCTTAATTTTTTAATTTAATTTTTTAGCAAAGTCCCAAAATATTTTGCTTAGAATTTGCCTTCAAATGAAGCTAGATTAATATAAATCAATTGAATAATTTTTAGTATCTTTATGTACTTCTTTGATTAAAAATTATTATATCAAGTAAAGAAAAATTATTTTTCCAACTCTAAAACACTCTTATCATTATTATAAAAAATCGGAGTCGATCAGAGGCACCAAAATCAGCTGGAAAGTGTTCTGGCAGTGCAGGCATGCCCCTTATAAAAACATTTAATGTATTTATAAATAAGAATACAACAGTGTCAAAAGAGTCTCTGTTAACCATCTTCAATTTTTAACAGTTTCAAAGCAAATTGAATACTAATTTTTTTTTTATCATATATTTCTTCCTGAAATGATATTCCATAAAATCTGATGATACCATTGGATAGAGCATTTCATGAATTTCTTATTAGGCAGTTACGAGTGTCAGAGATTGTTTGGCTGGGAAGACAAGACTTAAAAATCCATTGTAATCTGAGTTATAGTTATTTCTCTGTTTTCTTAGCCAACAATTTTGATACTCATACTTGATAAGAAGTCTCTAATTTTTGGAAAAGATATTAGGATTTTATTATAAAAAAGACGAGATAAAAAAAAAATTTAATTTTCCACAAAAGCTTAAAAAAAAAAAAAATAATAATAATTTTTTTTGTCACTTTTGAGGGGTATAACCAAGTCCAGAAATATTTGTGAATATGAAACTACATTAGATTATTACTAACACTGATCATTGAGGTTAATATTTGTTACTGAACTAATTCAAATATAAAAATTTCAGGATATCAATTTTAAGGAGCCACAGTACAAAGATCTGAGTGGAATAAATCTCAAATATTACACAACAGATATTCACAAAGCTGCTTTTGTATTACCGAAATTTGTGGAAGATGCTCTCTATGTATGATCGATATACTTTTTTTTATTAATAAATAAATTTGCAATATTATTCTAAATTATTACTGTTTATTTAATTAAATTTTGTTTCAAGAACATTAAGATGATTTTAAATAGTTCCATTAGTGGCTATCCAAAAAAACTAGATTCTGTCCTACATCATTATTAGCTATTCTATATTATTATTATATTTAATGAACAAAATATGATGTAATGAATTTAGTTCCAAAAAAGATAAAGTAAAATAGATTAAGTCATGTCAGCCTATTTCACATTTGTGTATCATTTGAAGTAAAGACAAATCTATTAAACATAAGTACATCAATGTTTCCTAATAGAAATATAAGCATTGAAAATAGTCCATGATTGTTTACATTTTTATCAACATCTTTGCATTTACATTTAGTGTAGGTCTTATTATTATTATATTTTTTGTTAGTTTGTTATTGTTTACGCTTGCTGTCAGTGCAGTATTGTTAATATTCTTCCAATCGAAGTCTTACATTTTTTTCAGAAGTTAGTAAAATGTTTTTAATTGAAGTATATGTTTATATTCATTACATTTATGTTTCTTTGATGGAAATTGAATTAACTTTTAAAGGAAATATAAGACTGAATTGGCAGAAAATAAACGATACTAGACTGCCAGGTAAATGTAAAAGATAATAAACTAACAGAAAATGTAAACAAGATGAAAAAAAAAAAAATCAGGCTAATAAAAATCTAAATTACAACGGACTAAGAGGAAATGTGTTATATATCTGTATGAATATTCAATTCTTGTATGGCTGAGAAAGTATTAAGGACATATATTTATTTATAAGAAATTGTTTACTTTAAATGGCGTTAGTAATAGGCCCTTTAAGTACAGACTTTCGGCCATGAGACGCATTTAATATTAATTATAAACATAATTAACGAACCATATATAATCGATTGTTTAAAAGGAGATATAGAAGAAAGTAGAAAAGCCACATTAATAAATCACATCTGTTGCAGCTCTAACATTTTTTGATAAAATTATGCTTGATTGTATCACTTTTAATCACCAGTAGGACAATGAAAAATACTGTTAACAGCTGAAATGAATTCCTGGAGTATAAGGGAAGTAAAAAAATCCATACAAGAAAGGATAAAAGAACTGATAAAGGTAAACAGGAATAACCTCACATTCATAAATGGAAAAGTTAACATGGTTTGGCCTATGTCAAAAGAACGACATCTGAAATGTAACCAAGTTAATTATGGAATGTGAAGGAAAAGAATACAAGAAGGTTGGAAAGACAAAATTTGCATGAATATGGCAGGACGTGAGGACAGGGAAGAACAAGTATTGGATAAAAAGGAATTGACGAACCATTTGCAAGATATTCAGAATGAAAAATACCATATTAGTGGGAGAAAAAAAAAGGTTCAAAGGAGAATATTAAGTGCTAACTCAAAGAAGTTTAAGAATAATGTATTTTTTACAGGTCTTAAATTTAAAATAAAAGTATTTACTTAAATTATTACATGTGTTCAAAACACAATTTACCCTCTTTACATAAAAGGACTTACAACAGGATGATAAATTTGTACTTAAAAAAAAAATTGAATAGACTACATTGAAAGAGACACCAATGATACTGATAACAAAACAATAATACAAAAATAATAAATAATTTTAGCAATATCAATTATTAACATAAAACATATGTTCATTTGTATAACTTTTGACATATAAACGAGACAGCCTAACATACAATAAGACACCACTCCTACCAACAAGCATACAAAGAAGTCTACTCTCGACTATTCTTTAGTCCCTTTCCTAAAATTTATATAATAAGGGTGTAAGTAAAAATACCTATCAAATGCAACAGAATACGTATATGTGTTCAAGACAATTGTAACAACATATATATACATTCGAAATCATAAATAATTTTACACAATTATAATTGTTTTATAAATACACTTTTAAAAAATAATAAAATAGAGATAACTTTAGTTTTCCCTATTTAAGCCGTGACGGCTTTTAAAAAACAGTGTTGTGGTAACAATTCTAAATTGTGGATAAACGAGGCCAGCACCTTTAGGAGCTCAAGACAATACTGGTATAAATACTGGGTGCCTATTATCACAGTATATACGCATATAATGGTATATACACAAATATATATATATAATTTATATTAGTCTATCCCTACTTTGATTTCATGTAGGGATAAGCCCATTCTGTTTGTGGAACAAATGTTTCCTTGATGGCTTGTGGAGAAGCCCATCTCAGCACATAATGGGGTCCACCAGCTTTGTCGTTGGTACCTGAAAATACAATATATGATAATTGCTAAGTAACCAACAAAGTTCATTCATTTGCTATAAATTATATCAAATATACTAGAGGTAAAATATCTTTATCTTCAGAATCTAACAAATATAGAAATCAATAATTTAAATTTACTACTCATTAAATTAATGATTATATTTATATTAAGGCCTTATGCCACAAGTTACAGATGCATGCATACCTATCCTCTTCCTACCGTAAAATGTCTTTGGGTAATACAAGGAAAAAGTAATAATGGATACACATTGTAATGTAAATATTACATAGTGCCGCGAAAGCAGACGGAAGGGGAAGCAAAGGCCATATATATGTTGAGGAAAAAATAACCAGCCGGTAAGGAAAGATCATAGAGATCAACAGAGAGTGACAGGTGACCAATAAATAGTGAGTGTCTAGACGAAGACAGGAAAATAGAAGATTAAAAGAAGATATTGCAGAAGTTTAATACAGTAAAGCCTGCAACATCAAAATGAAGATTCACTGCAGACCCAGGATGAGTGCAAAATAAATAGTGACAACTAAGAAATGCCAAGAGTGAACCCTGACAAAAATGAATGGAAATTCATAACTGTAGTATATAAAATATATATATGCTTTTAGATTATATAATTGGGGAATGTGTGTTTATTGTCTCAACCCAACCTGAGAAATAATTTAAAATAACTGTGTAAAATAAATATAATTTGGTTCAGAAACTGTTTCTTTACTTTTCAATGAAAGCGTAATCAAACAACACACACACAGGTGTGGGGAGTTATCCATTTCCCCGGAATGCCGAGAAATGAAAAGTAACCAACCCAGGTGGGAATCGAACCCAGGCCAACCAGGCCCTCTTGGACCCACACCCCAACGTGCTTGGCCATCACGTCCTCCCTCCTCCCTCTCTCCCTCTCCCTCCTCCCTCTCCTCCCCTCCCCCCTCTCTCTCTCTCTCTCTCTCTCTCTCTCTCTCTCTCTCTCTCTCTCTCTCTCTCACTCTCACTCTCACTCTCACTCTCTCACTCTCCCTCTCCACTCTCACTCTCACTCTCACTCTCACTCTCACTCTCACTCACTCACTCTCCCTATTCCTCTCCCTATTCCTCTCCCTATCTCCTATTCTCCTCTCCCCTCTCCCTCACCAGATGTGGAAAAAAAATTGTTTTCCTCTTTCAATTTAAGTTTTTAATCATATAATTAAGAATGATTAGCGAAAGATCACGGCTTACCAGACATCCTTGAGCCTCCGAATGGCTGTTGGCCAACTACAGACCCTGTAGACTTATCGTTAATGTAGTAGTTACCAGCAGTATTCCTCAGTTTGTTTAGTGCCATTTTTTGGAAGGATCTAAAAAAAAAAAATTATTATACATGTAGCAACTAAATATATATAATACACCTTACAGCAAATAAAACATAATTAAAATCACAAAGGTTTGTCTTGCAAACAATAAAAGTTAAATTTATTACTAACATCTATTCCATTACACCAAATATTATATTACATTATATATTTGTATCTTAATCAAAGAAAATCATAAGTAGTTACTTAAGATCTACGATAATAACTTAATTTATACAATATGACACAACATATAAAAAAATATATATTAGTAATATGTTTCTATTTACTCACTCATCTTTTCCAAAAACTGCACCCGTAAGAGCATATGGAGTCGAAGTATCGACTAATTCTAAAGTTTTGTTGACATCTTTGTCTGGATAAACATAAATACTGAGCACTGGTCCAAAGATTTCTTCAGTCATGAGCTTATCTAATGGGTCTTTCGTTTGGATGATCGTTGGTTCGATGAAGTAACCAGTCCTAAACATGGAAGAGGAATTATTTACTAAAATACAATACAGAGTAATGCAATAATGTTCTTGAATTAGAAGATCCATAATATAATGACAAGGAAAGATATCAAGCAATTACAATTTGAACTTGAAATATAAATTAATTAATGATAAAATAAAGAGCATTAGCTAATACACTTGTATTTTCTGTTGATTTACAAATATAAATATATTTGTACATATCTTTTGATTCATACTTCAATTTGAAATTTAGGAAAAATGAAAATGTATTACGGTATAAAATTAGTATAATAGGCACCAATGGTTTTTAAATTTTATTAACATTTAATCTGTTTAAAACAATAACATAAAAATGCAGGTGCGCGCAACACACAACTTTCACTTACCTTTCTACTTTGAATAAAAATTATTTTCTGGCAGTGTTCAGCAATTATAAAATTTTTGAAGTGCACTATTTTAACAGAGCTTTAGCTTAAAGTTTACAGCTAACAAATCATTAAACACCATTAAAAAAGCAAAAACCGTATTAATTATATCAACGGTAGACAATAAAAATCTCGGTACTCCATCTGTTTTTGTAAATCACATAACTCCAGTCTCTGAACAATATATATAGTTAATAATACTCATAAAGCAAAGTAGAATTTCATTTTTTCTACCTTAATTTAACAATCCAATATAATAGTTTGAATAGCACATATTCAAAAATATTATAGCAATATCCAGATAGACTGACTTTTATTTCATGGGTCACCCATATAACAAATCTGCACTTTTTCTTAATAGCGGGAAGCGGTTGGTAATCTATATAATGACACCATTTCTGCCCTCCAAATAGGCAAATTTGTCAATTATCATAAAAAAAATACTTATATTGATAGGAAAAAGAATATTTTTCAGTTCTGCTGTCAGATTTTTTTTTTCTTCTTTTTTGCAGTACATTAAAAATAATTGATTATTTGGGCTACTTAATTAAAAATATTTAAATATCATTTGTTGGATATTTTAAAGTCATTTCCGCCAAAAAAATAAAAAATTAGTCTGGATTGATATAATAACGCTGATATTGATACTAGTGCATATACACATAAGAATACATAACAATAAAAAATCACTTACTTGTCACTGTATTTTCCTCCTCCAATAATTTCAAGGTTGGAGCTACTTTTAGCATGTTCAATATAGCCCTTAATTCTCTTGAAAGCTTTGTCATCGATCACAGCTGACATAAACGTATCAAATTCATTAACATCGCCTACTTTTAATTTATTCCTCAGGCTTATTAAGCCATCTTTTATCTACAATAAAAATCATATAAAATAATAGAATAGATAAAATCAAATAAAATTGATCAACTAAACTTCGAGCATTTATATCTTATATTAGTTGAAAACATAATTTCAACACAACCTGTGTTGAAAACATTATCATTATCAAGCATTGTTGATGTTACAAGAATGGATCTCTATATTCAGAATTAGAACTTTACCAATGATATTACATATCAACATATACATAATTATCATGTAAAAAAAAAAAAAAATCAAAAACAATATATTAAATTGGATAATTGTAGACTTTGAGGGCAATATGACTCTAAAATTAGTTCCAATTTCATAGAGAAACCCTTTCCAGTTACTTCATTATTTTTTGTTTTAATCGTAAAAAAGATTAATCTAATTTTGGAGTGAATGTTATCTCCAAGGTTTAAATGTAGCACATAAATTAACAGTACGTGTTCGATTACTGACAATTTATTATAATGAAAAAGTAACATATCTATTAAATTTAGAAGTATCATACATTATCTTACTTAATGTATATGTAAACAATAGAAAACAAAATATTTAAACTATAAACAAAAAAAAATATATATATATTATGATTTGAATTTTTTCCTCACCAATGCACTAGAAAAGGGAGTCAATAACAAAAATGTATTAAAAAGAATCAGAATGCTGAATAAGAAATAAATTACTATATTTAGGTTAAGAAATAAAAATTATTCTAGTACCTTGGGCCACAAGGACTGAGGAACATACATTCTCGCACAAGCAGAGCATTTCTGGCCGCAGAACTCGAAAGCTGATCGAATGGTGGCAGGAACAACAGTTTCAACTTCGGCAGATGGGTGGACAAAGTGAAAATTCTTGCCACCACATTCACCTATCAGTCGTGGATATGAGCGATATTTGTTGATATTTTGCCCAACCTGAGCCCACAGTCGATTGAAAGTCCTTAAACAAATTAAATTACAAATTTTAATAAATATAATTAAAAATAGAAATATAATAATTAATAAAACTTTTACAGGCTTACTAAATAATAAAAACAGAAATTTACAATAATTTTTTTATGAAACCGGGATTAATGTGCCCCATGGCCCAACCCAAAATAAGATTTTTAGTAAACTAATGCTATAAGTCATTTTATAATTACAGCTGGATGAAGTTGTGAATACTTTGGATCAATCATTTATTTAAGTTTTTAAACTACATGTTTATACATGATCCTCTGCACTATTTAATGGTTCTAAGATGATAATTTAATGTAATGATAGTCACATACAGAGTGATCAAACTGATCTTGTGCCTTGTCACAATATTTCTTCTAGAGAAATTCTTGTATTTAATTGAAAAAGAAAAAAAAAAACACCTCTTACTCCCTCCCAAAAAAAATAAATCCTGAATATGCTATTGATCATAGTGATGGCATAGGCATTACATTAATGATGTATACGTCAATAAACAAAATAAAATTAGTTGAAATAAAAAATGAAAAAACTTACGGTACTGATCCAGTAAAATTAATACCAGCCAGATAGGGAGATGCAGTAATGTTATCTCCAAAAACTGGGCCATCTGTAGGTATAAAATTAACAACTCCGGGAGGCACACCTGCTTCCGTCATGATTTTATAAATGGTGTAGTTCGACAACAGCGCTGTATCAGAAGGTTTCCATAATGTAGAACATCCCTAGGGAAATGATAAAAGCATTACTTACTGCCGACCATAAAAGGTAGAGGAGAATTGATCAAGATCACTCTTTAATTGAAAAAAATAAAATAAAGAACTAAATATATTCAGCATCAAAAGGTGTTTTTAACTATTAAATATTTGATAAAAAATTGACAAAAACAAAAGCGTTTCATCATTAGAGTCAGAATAAACCATAAAGTGGCTAGGAAGGTTGAGTTAACGTATTACAGTAAAATAGAATGGAAAGACATTCATCTTTTTTTTTTCTTCTATTATTCACAGTTTGAAGATTTTAACATTCAATAAAAATAACTTTGGAAGGTTGAGTTAACGTATTATAGTAAAATAGAATGGAGAGACATCCATCTTTTTTTTCTTCTATTATTCACAGTTTGAAGTTTTTAACATTCAATAAAAATAACTTTGGAAGGTTGAGTTAACGTATTATAGTAAAATAGAATGGAGAGACATCCATCTTTTTTCTTCTTCTATTATTCACAGTTTGAAGTTTTTAACATTCAATAAAAATAACTATGGAAGGTTGAGTTAACGTATTATAGTAAAATAGAATGGAGAGACGTCTATCTTTTTTTTTCTTCTATTATTCACAGTTTGAAGTTTTTAACACTCAATAAAAATAACTTTGGAAAAAACAACTTGTATTAAAATATTGAAATTGATCAACTTTTAAGCAACTGTGATTTAATGAAAATTAATTATTTGCTTCAATAGTATAATTGGAAAATTATTTTTTTCATTATTTACTCGCTAATCATGTAAATAGTGGTTGTTACAATGCCTTTTTTTTTAAGTATTTAAAAAATGTTATGATTCGAGCCAAATAATCATTACAGAATGATCTATTTAATTTGTTTTTAAATGAAACCAAAATTAATAAGTCATAATAAAACAAAAAATCAATTCTATCAAGCCTATATTTTATTACAGCATGAAAAAAAAATTTGGTGCATGCACACAACTTTCAGTTATATATGTTTTATATAAAACAGCTTAAGAAATAAATTTAATTTATTTAGAGGGGAGGAGGAAGATAACTTCATTGCCCAGGGAGGCGCCGTATGCTTAAGGCCAGCACTGCTTAATATAATTAGGACTCCGACAATATTATGTAAATATACATATGCGGTTTTCATAATTGCTATTGTTGATATTATTTAATATTAATTTTATAGATTACAGCGATATAAATATTAAAATTTGTATATATAAGGGTACTTATACAAATAAAAATACCCACAATGAAATATAAATGAATACAGCGTTTATAATGTTTTAAATACAAGGGCACGAAAACAGATTGTAAACAACCTATGAAACATGGAGAAAGATGAGGTAGGTAACGATAGACAAGATTACATTTGTGACTCCTTGGTTTTTCCCTGGGACGTTTGGACTATCATTGTTTCTTTCATGTAGGTAGATTTTTCAACTTGATTTTCATTAGACTACCCTGTTTTTAAACCATAGACAATATTACCAACTGATAGTACTCGTCAAGACCAACAGAATGCTCTGAATAACGAAAAATTATGGACTATCCTTGTTTTTTCCCTGTACCCTTCAAATACAGGTGGTGGTATAGGATTCCTAATGAGTCCAAAATAATAGATTCTGGCATAATCTGCAGATGACTCCTTTCTATGCCCAGATTTTCTAGAAACCCAGCCGTTGAAAGTGGAATTACACCTCTACTCCAGAACCAAAAATTCTCTTTCATTAAATTCCTTTCCATATTCTTCCTGCAGATAGGGTATGCATTTTTATAGATATTCTCTTTTCCTGTTTCTATTTTGAAATCTTGATCCTCATCATTACCTTCAAATCGAATTATAGGATCAACTATCAGAGCCCCTTTTCCTTTCACACTAAAGGTTAAGATATATACAAATTTCGTGGAGCCTTCCGTATCTATGCAGTATACTTCAAGGAAACATCTATACTTTTTCCTCTGCAAGAATTCAGCAATTCGATGTTTTATATTATGGTTCTGGTGGATGATAAAGAGCATGTTATTCGGACCTTTGCCCAGTACATGAGCTGAGGTTTCTGACTCTCGACCACATTTGCAGCAGTAATTAGAGGAGTCCACATGATTTAATAAATAAAGAATAATTTAAAAACCAAACTTATTTTTGAATTTAAAATGAAAAAAGAACTGATAATATCAATCACAAGAAATAATTCAATTTTCTTAAACCTATTAAATTATTTAGCTTGATAAATATACCATTAAAGCAGGAGTATATGCTAAGTTCCCACCAATGGCAGTGAAATTGAATGGAGACACTGCCGCAATGAAACCATCGAGGCCTCGATACCTGTGCCAGTTAATTGTTGATTTCGGATCAGGGCTGATAGGCTGATACTTAACTGCCTCCTTTGCAAAATAAGCGTTCAACCTATGATAACGAAAAAAAAAAAAAGAAGATAAATAAAAGCAATATAAATTCTTTTAAAATTATTACTCGTTAATCATATGAACTTACAATTATTTAGTAGCAGAATAATCAAATAACAAAAATAACTAAGATTAAGTTAGAATAGTTTAATAAAAAGTAACAATAAAGGCTAGTAAAAAGCTACACAGGTAAAAATATGTACGTTATTAACAAATTATACCTATATATATATTTATTACTTTTTCAATTTATCATAAATGGAATTTCACGAGTGAAAATTAATTAAATAAAGTTACAGCTAATTAATTAAAACCAGTTATAGTTAAATAAATTCTTTATATTCGAAAATTATATTTTTGTAAAAAAGTTGAGAACGGACAATGCCAAAGTATTCATGTAGTATGCCGAAATACACAAAATTGCAAGGATTAATTTATTAGGTAGTCTATGAAAAAAATAAGTGAAATAAGTATTGTCAAATAAAATATAACAATTGTGTAGAGTGATAACAAAATTATAATTCTTGAACTTCAACTATTATTTGCACACATATATTACCACACACCATAGTTAGTTAACGCACAAATTAATAGCTCATTTTCATAAATATCTACAAACTAAATTACTATTTCTAATCTAAATTTCTAGTCAATTAATCATTCTATAAGTTTTTGCACCATTCAGTTTAATCCTTTCTAAAAAATAAAAAGTCAATTAATGACTACTTTATTCTAAACTTTTGAGAAGTTTCATAACTGATGGAATTAAAGATATTCGGTCAACCCTTGATAACACAAATTTTAAGGGATTTTTCAAATAAGTAAAAAAAAAGAGTTTGAATAATAGAGGTTAGCTTTTAGAAAAGATATTTCTATTCAAAATGCAAGACTAAAATTAAGAGAATCTGATAAACAGCGATAAATCTTTTAAATATATTTATTTTTAAAATATTCTGTATTATATAAAAATACTATCAAAACATGAGGGGCATAATATAACTACAGAGGGAGGATTTGAGGAAACAAAGTTTGACACCTTTGAATGAACAAATAACCTTAATTGAGGACTATTTGAGCAACTAAAAGTAATATTTTTTACAATTTTAGATGTATGCCATAAAATTCTTTTGAATTTTGTAAGAAAGTAATTTGTATGTTGGCTAAAAGCAGCAAATGGTAAAATCACTTTCAATTTTAGTTCATTATTTCCAATAAATAACCTTTGTAATAAAATAAAATTAAAACAATTGTTTACCCTATCACAAAATTTGAGGTTTTAGTTTTAAAATTAGTGAAGTCCAAAATTAGAATTTAAAACTCTGTCAGTCCACAGTCTTCAGATTTTCTTTTATATCACTGAGCTAATTTTATACAATTTAAAACTAAAGTCCTCCCAGGAAGACCCTAAACTCGACATTATCAACAGCTAATTAGAATTTGTATACCCACATATCTCGGTCATTTATGAAAATAAACAAATTTTAAGTTTTAGGTATCATTATAAAAAGCATTACAAAAAATAAATCCAAATAATATATATATATATATATATATATATATTTTTTTTTTAATACATACATGGAAACAACACATATCAACAGCTAAAATCACAAAGGTAGTATGTCCACTTTTATATTCTATTTATTTATTTTTATTTTTTATAAATTTCACTTATTAAGTGTCATTTGGTGTCTTGGAGGTCTACTATTGTAAAATAAATAATCCATGTCCTAATGTGAAGTAAAAGGATTTTGTTTTTTACCCATAATTTCAAATCTGTGAATTTGACTTACTAGATTTAGAATTAAAATAACAAGGATTTACAAAAAATTAGAGATAAACATTAATAACCAACTCAGCGATTGAAATGATTAGATTAACTCCAATTTATTTTTTGCAAGAATTTGCAGCTTTTAAATTTTTTAAGTTTGTCCTAAAAAACTAAAAAGTGTTATGGGCATACAATGAATGTGCTTTTAGAATGAATAATATTCTTCAGCCTTTTGTTAATTAATTCAAATTTTTATATTCTTAGAGTAATAATCTGGTTTGTAATATGTTTTTCAAGGTATCGTTATTATATATATTTAAAAAGATAACATCAAGAAAAAATGTGTAATTAAACAATAAGTTATGAAATTCAGATGTTATTGAGTCAACTTATATAAAATAAACACGAAAGAGTAATATATTAAAATAATGTGGAGAGATTTAATGGAAAATAGAAACAAAAATAAATTCTTTTTTTGAAGATAGGAGTGAAATTTCCTAAATATTTAGCACTTCATTTAATCTGAAGGTCAAGAAAACTAAGGTATCTCCTAATAACATATCTATATTTACTGCTGGTATTCAAACAAGAATATCTAGATGGTTGCAACATTAATTATGAATTACTGAACCGAATACTAATTTAATTAATTCATATGAATTCATAGGAGCCTAAATTTTTTAAAAAATATGTAAATATTAAAAAAAAAATAAGAATATACTTAAAATTCAAATTATATTAATTAATTAAACAACTATAAAAGTAATGGTAATAAAAAAATGAAGAATTAAAAACATTTTTCTTTGATGATCATTTCCATTAAACACTTGATGATTAAAGTATGAAATAAGAATCTATAATGGGTGGGTTATAAACTCTGTGGCCCTAATACTACAAAACTTAATTACATGCAATTACTGACGTTTTATAACTTTTGAAGCAATATAAAAATTGAATGAAAAAAATTAGTTTAAATATTTAAATAATAATCAATTAAATAATTTTGAATTAGTATAATGGTATAAAAAATATTTGTTTTATTTTCCTTTGCTAGAAAGCTTTGCAGCGTTAAAAGGCGTAATGCTTAAATAATATAATAAAAACCAATTCAAAGATAAAACAATATCTAATTCTAAACATTAAAAGTAATCAAACAGCAGCAGCACATAATACAGCTTTCATAAATCAATTGTTAAAAAATCTATTTTTAAAATAGGATATGAGAGAAAATATATAAATGACAAAACAAAGCTTTCTGCCTGGAATATTAGAAATGAAAATTGAAATCATTGAATTGAAAAAAACTTAAGTAATCATAACAAAAATCTCTAAAGCAGAGGGTCGGTGTCAGTAAATCGCACACATTGGGTGTAATTGAATCTTGTGACAGAGTAAACAAAGAGAGAAAAGTTTATTAATTTGTTTATTTCATGCCACCAGGCCATGATGAAAATTTCGGAATGTTTTCCATATAATTTTATATTACAACAAATAACTGTTTTGAATTCATTGAGAACCAATTATCGTTTAAATTTTATATATATATATTTTTTTTAGCGGCATGAGTGCACTGCGGACATTTAGGCCTATTGTAAGCCTTATTTAATGTCACTTTTGTTAAATTATATAAATTTTACATAGCTTTCTTCAATGATAAACACTTAACATGGGCATATTATGTTCTCACTTGAAGAAGATATAGCATTAAATACATGTCCAGCCCAGTTAAAATCTTGTTATCCTAATAAAAGTGAATCTAGAAAAGCTATGGCTATCCTAAAATATCTCATATTCAGTAAAAGCTGTGGACCCCTGCTCAAGAGAATATGAATGCCTAATAAATTGTTCCATAAAAAAATCAAACTTAATTTATCCGATAAATTTATTATGGCCAAAATCATAAATGCAAACTAACCTCAAAATGAACATTTAAGCACTAGTAATAAAAATTAGATAAACTCACCCAAATATAGTTCAAGTGTCCCTAAAAAAATACCGATCAAATAAATTATATTTAAAACTTTCTTGAAGATTTTTTTTTAATTTGTATTTTATTAGATGTTACGCACAATATATTAAATGTTAATAAAAAATAAAATAAAATAAGTACAATTAAAAACGGATAAGGAACGACATACGACGATTAGAATGTGAGAAAGTGTGATTTGCCTGATAAAGTCGATCAGTTCTGCAGCAGAGTCAATCTCAGCTTGGATGACAGTTTTTGCTTGACCAAGCATTGTTGCAGCGTTTAGAGTTTGCCGATATTTGGTTGCCATCATGTCTGCAGCTCGCAGCCATATGTTAATCCTCTCTTTCAGTGGAACGAGGTCCCATTGCCTTTGAGCTTCGACAGCAGCGGTTATTGCCTTCTGTACAAGCTCCTGCAAATTCATACAACAACAATGTTGTATGCTAACAGAAATATGGAAAAAGTCAATATGAAATGAATTGAACTACTTACTGGTGTCGCGTAGTAGAATTTTGCTATCTTCTTCTGATGATTATGAGGCTAGAAAAGACAACTTTCGTTAGTAACATTAAATAGTTAAAACTTGATGAAAAATTGGAATAATTTTTTTTAATAAATCATTAAATTTTTTAGTTATATCTTGACTTGTTATTTACCACTAAACTGAATTATTCACAAATGAAACAAACATCAACAATAAATAATCAATATAAATAAAAAAAAATGATAATTAATTGAATTCATATTCATTAAGAATTTTTAAAAATTGAGAGGTTTATATATATATATATATATATATATATATATATATATATATATATATATTTAAAAATATCCTCAGTGTTTGATTATCTGCATTAAAAAAAAAAAAAAAAAAAAGATGAAGAATACTTTGTGCTAAACAAATGCATCAATGAAAAATTTAATATGATTTCTGAAATGCTTTGGAATAAGATAAAGTAAAACTTGTTAAACTGAAAGTAATTGAAGGCATCACTAAAAAATGTTGAATAAAACAATTTTATCTATAAAAGGTCCAATATGACCCTGAGTCCATTGACATCCCCTTTATTGTGGAGAAAATATATTAAATAAGTACGTCCAATAAAACATAATAAATATTTTTTTTTATAAGTTAAAAGTCTAAAAGGAATTGAATAACAATTTTTTGAAAAAAAAACAAAAAAAAATGTTCCATTATAGGTTATCTTTACATTTCCTAAATAAGAAGCCATATTTTCAGTAATCTTATGAAAAAAGGTTAAAAGAAACCATGGATATAATCCTAGTACTAGCTTTTTCAGAAAGGAAGCTATAACTACCTTATATAAAAATATTATGTACATATTAAATTACATAGAAGTTTCCAAAAAGGATAGATAGCATCACTTTTATTCTTAAATAAATAAATTAAATGGTAGGAGTCCAATAAATTATTTTATGATAAATATCAATTAGGCCATTACATTTCTTTTAATTCAATAGTTATCAGCAAGAAAAGATTTCAGTACTAGTTCCAATATAATCCTGAAAAATATTTCTTGTGTTTTGTACATTCTCAACGATTATATAAAGGCTATTTTTACAAATTTAGTTTTAATTATATTAATATCCATATGGAAACATACTGCCTCCCCAGTACTCTTCCAGATTACTAATGCAATTGCAACATTGGGTCAAAACGGAAATGGGTTTCAATTTTGTCTGAAATAAGTAGTGCATTATTATTTTATGGTGAATATTTAGTGCAATGCTCTGCTGCAGCTCCTAAGCCATAGGACCCCTATTACCGTTTACATTGATCGTTTAATTAATTTTTCAGTAATTTTTTGTCTCTTTTTTCATATATTGCAGATGTATCATTGTTCTATCAAGGAAGCAATAGGAATGAGTAAACATGTACAATAACAAGTATATAATTTAATTAAATAGTTTTCATTATTATTCAGAACTGTGATCTTTTTTTAATTTTAATTTTTTCAATTATTAAATTCATAAATACTTAATGGATACACTTTTCCAACTTCAATTAGACTTATACCTGTCTGTAGAAGTTATAAATAAATAATATTCATTTTTGAATGAAGGATAATTTAATACATGATTAATAGTTATGATTATACTGAAGAATGGTGCAGGTAAAAAAACAAAACATTGTTGGTTATACATTCATTTTTTGTTGGGGCTATTTTATATTATTTCATTCATATACCTTCAAATTATTGAATACATAAGAGTAGTTAAAAATATCCATATTTATGCCTACCACAAATACAGAAATAAAATCTTAAGAGGGCTAGCCAACATGTTATTTGGCCTATAGCCAGGAAAAAGAAAAGTATATTATTTCAAATTTGAACTAAAAATATGAACAAAGTATAATTTTGAAAAAGTAAAATAAAAGTACATTTAACTATACACGAACATAATTTTTTAACTTTTCCTAGAAATCTATACCATTCCGTATTTATGAACCATTAGATTAAAAAAACAACTAAAATTAAGATTAGAAAAAAATGTTCATAAAATAAATATCTTTCAATAACCTACAGATCAAAACATAAATCTTAGTTGAATGGGAGAATCTAAATAGTGAAGGAATTGATTTGTAATAATTAACGAATACTATAAATTTTAATAGCAAAATACATCAAAGGAATGAAAATTTAAATTAATATATGTGTACCATAACCACTTCAATACTCAATTTAAATATTTCTTCCATAAACTGAAGTTTTATAATAAAAATTTAAATTATCATACATATAGTTCAGCTTATGGCTATCATACAGCAAACTAGTATGGTTATAGAATTGTATTTGTTTTAACAGTCAATAACATTAACAATAGATTAATACAAATTTAAGAATGTTTTAATAAGTGCTTACCATAACTTGGTACCTAACTTCAGAGGTGCGATATTCTTTACCTCCAATAATAATAGGAACATCTTCAGTATTTGAAGCAGTTTTTTTCAAAGCTTCTTCAATTTCACGCCTCTCTTGACTACCGGGTAAATAGGCTGAAGTAACAGGAATCACATAATAAATTATAAAAGAACATAAAATAAGTACTTAGCTGTACTATAAACAACAACAAAACTTACTTAAAACAGGTTCATTTTTAACTGTGAAATCATCAATTTTCGGTTCTTGGACTACAGATGAAGCACACCTAGTGGCTAATCTAAAATAAGTCACAAACGAAATTCAGTGAAATTTGGTATAAATAATTGAATAAATAATAGGGAATCGCTAGCTTTTTCAAAGTAGGGGTATTTATTGATAGGCTTATGAGCAACAACTTTATTGTTAACAAATGAAAACATTGATTTTTTTTTTTCAAGATAATATTCTTTTAATTATATTTAGGTTTTGACATATTGTATCTCAAATTCATATTATTTACAAACAAATCAAATAATCTAATCTTGAGGATGTCAATACACAACCCATTAATAGATAAAGCTTATCAAGAAAAAAATTACCTCGAAAGGTTGCCGATAACGCCTAATCTCGATAACGTCAACATTATGAAAAGGCGTAAGATTATCTAAAAGGTAGACTATTGGAGAAAAGACGTTGTGTTTCAACTACGAACTGAGAGGTTGCAGTTTTAAGATATATCCCATTCCAACTTGGGCGTACCAACACACGGTTACTGAAACCCCGATGGCAGCTTTCACCTACTAACAAGCAAGAGTGACGTAATCTTCGCCCAGGGGCCTTGCAAATGAAAAAAAAAACAAACATATGTTGCAATTTTTTCAAGTTTTAACTTAACCTACAGAATTAAGCCCATTATTATGGAGGAGTTATTTAATGTAACCATTTTGAAATTTACAATTAAGAAAAAAAGTTATTAGTTGAGGTGATTTGTGTTTTTCATATAACCACTGTCTCATTGCATTATATTCACCATTAAATTGAATATTAGAAAAGCTATATTCATAAATGATAGAAAATATGAAATAATCAATATTTTAGATAACCAGGTGGTTTACGGCCATGCGCACCCTTTTATCTGCATGTGGAGCTGCTTATTTTACCGCCACTATTTGAAACATGGTTTTTGTGTTCTTGGTTTATTTGCATATTGCCTTGACTCAATTTAAAATAAAATAAATTTTATTCCAAATATGACATATTTGAATGGAATTGAGTTGAACTAATTCCATAAAAAATAGCACCAATTTCCGTTTCCGGAAAACAAAAAAAACGTCGAAAAAAATGACATGACAACTCAAAGAATATACACTTAATATTGTGTTTTATAATATTTTTTAAAAATATTGTTATACTTTATGTAAGGCTTTGATTGAGTTTTAATTGTAAACATAACATTTGGTGAGACCAAGAATAAATATCCCTGGGCTCTTGATTTCTTACTAAGGCCATGCTCTCACCAACATTATTTTTCACGTATTCAAATGACTTGCATAACGTTATACAGTGATGGAAAAAAGTAATTGCACATCATGTTTTAATGAATAAATGAGTTCAAGGAACCAAAAAACTTCGCTTTCCTCTGCAAAAATGAAAAGTACGTTTGTTAAAAACTGAGAAAAATATTTTGGAAAAAAATGACAACACTCCGTAATGAAACAAAAAAATTAAAACAATAAAAGTGCTTGGAAAAAAGTATTTGCACACTATGACTCACAAGCTCTGTTTACTTTGGCATTAATCCCCCTGTGTCCATAGGTCATAGGTTTGTTTACTAATTTATCTCTAATCGTTTATTACCAGTATTCTCTAGTATTTCAATCAGTTTCCTTTAGTCAATAGACAATTATCATTCCAAAGACAAGTGAACTGTGTGCCGCAACTCGCGAAAAAATTGTTTTACTGAGGAGTCAGCAAAAAACATATCGCAAAATAGTCGATTTCTTAGGGTTGAATTTTTCTACAGTGAGTCATAAAATGGTATGAAGAACGTGGTTCAACAGGGCGTCCAAAAAACCCTTAAGCTTTTGGGAAAATGTCATATTTTCTGACGAAAGCAAATTTAATTTGTTTGGTTCAGATGGTCGAAGGACGATGTGGCGACATCGTAATGAAGCCCTAAAGAAGCAAAATGCTTTAACAACTGTAAAGCATGGTGGAGGACATGTTATGGTTTGGGGGTGTGTTTCCTACCATGGCGTGGGAAATCTTGTGAGCATCGAAGACATTTTAAATGCGGAAGGCTATGTGAACATTTTGCGACGTAATTTGCGTGTTAGTGCCAAAAAAATGGGAATTCAGGATTGGTACTATTTCCAGCAGGACAACGATCCAAAACATACTGCGAGGAGAACAAAGGAGTGGTTAATATTTAATGTTCCAAGACAGCTCCACACTCCTCCTCAGTCACCAGATATAAATATCATTGAAAATTTATGGCACACCCTTGATCAAAATGTAAGAAAACACCATATCACTAGTGGACATCACCTTAAACATCTTCTTGTTTCAAGAATGGGAACAAATAAACGTAGATTTAATTAAAAACCTAGTGCATTCAATGCCCAGATGTCTACAAGCAATTATTGACGCAAATGGATTATTTAAAAAATATTACAACTATTAAAATTTAAAATAAACTTGTAAATGTGGAAGTGTGCAAATACTTTTTTCCAAGGACTTTTATTGTTTTAATTATTTTGTTTGATTATGAAGTGTTTTTATTTTTTTGTAAAAAGGTTTTTTCAGTTTTTAATAAATTTACTTTTCATTTTTGCAAAGGAAAGCGAAGTTTTTTGTTTCCTTGAACTACTTTATTCATAAAAACGTGTTGTGCAAATACTTTTTTCCATCACTGTATGTCAATCAAAGAACCATGTGTTCGCTGACGATCTACAAATATATATTTCCTTTCATCCTTCAGACCTATTTGAGGTATCATGTAAGCTCCAAGATGAAATTCATAAAATCAATCATTGGCTTTCCGAAAATTGGTATTCTGTGCGAAAAAAACTAGATCAAATTTTATTGGTTGGTTCAAGCCCCTTTCTCGAGATATATATCTGTATTATATCTCAATAAGATTCCTATTCAATTCCAAAACTCTAAAAAAAAACTTCGGAGTTACCTAAGATCAGTACTCAAACTATAATAACCATATTTCTTAAACCATCCGAAAATGCATCTTCATCTTTGAACAGCTTAAAAGACTCGGTGATTCATTTTCCGGAAGTTTCCATCACATTCGTTTCCTCTTCCATTCTCTTCAGATTTAACAACGGATGCGTAGTGTATAGGGAACTATTGGTAAGCATGAGATGAGACTAAAAATATTATTGATTGTTTCATACATTCTATTTTGGTGTTCCAAGACGTTCTTACATTTCTTACTGGTATTCCGGGTGAGGATGTTATTTTCTAATTTTCAAAAACAATATTTCTTGTTGTGCCTTCCTATTACAATCATTGAAGAAAAAACAAATTCTGTACCTCATCACCCATCGTTCTCCTATCCAAATACGAGATCTCATACCACCCTCCCCAACATCAACATCACAGCTCTTAACACACTGAAATTAACTATTATAATGTTCAATTTTTTAAATTGAAGACGCTCTCGATGTCAAGACCACTTAATCTCCTCTGAACGTGACCACAGCCTCAGCACTTGAGAAATATTGGGGAGCGAAGGTAACAAAGGAGTAGCTCAGTAATCAGTCCATTACCTTTAACATAATATAGTTATTGCCTATGCGGTTTATTGGACTTTATGTGAGTTATTTTTAAGCATATGACAGCTAAGTGTGTGGAGGGGCTGCCCCGTTTGTAAGATATAACGGAGGGGGCGGGGAGTAATGAGCTTTGACTTCCAGTTGCTGGCGCCCATGAATGTGATTCACCACACAGGCGGATCTATGGGGGGTGCTTTCGGGCTGAAGCCCCCCTCAAAATGGTAAAATATAATCATGTTTTACAGAAAAAAATATTAAAAACTATCTCTTAAAGTATTCTTGTTCGTGTAATTACATTTAATAGGACTTCAAGAACCACTTAAATACCATTTCATATAGGTAGTTAATTCCTTTCTTTTTTTTCTAATTAATTATCGTTATATGTATATGAAAAAAATATATTTCGGGCTGAAGCCCCCCAAAATTAATTTCTGGATCCGCTAGTAATTCACCATTAATACCATCACCGTTGACTCAGATGACTTTTTTGGGGGAATCTCCCAGATGATGTATTGCGGCTTTTTGACGAAGTTTATTAATTAATAATGATTAAATAAATTCATCAACATAAATCTGCTATTTGATTTAACATTCTAGAGTAGGAATGACGTGCTATTCAAATTTAAGTAATAATTTTTTTTTTATAATTGGCTATACGGCCAGGGTCGACCCAAGGTCGTAACTGAAATTGAATTAAAAGAAGTCTTGAATAAAAAACAATTGAATCAAATATTTTCTCGGTTTCTTTTAATTACCCTTTGTGTTAAAACCCCAAATCTAAAAGGTAGTTCAATAGTTTTCCTACTTTGTATCTTACATCATATCTTTAATATACGTTATCTATTAATATTTACTGATATAATTCATGAAGTTTTAAAAACATTTGGTACATAACCGCTTGTACAAGTAAAACGAATCTACCAAATAAATCTCCTCTACGTTTTACTTCTTCTTTTGGTGAACCGTACAGAATTCGTTACTTTAATTTTGTTTAAGTAAAACAAAATTATTTTATCTTCTCTTTAAAACTGAGTAATTTTAAATTTTGCGGTTGGATTATATAAAGAATAAATATAACAACCTTACCGTAATTACTTATCAGTTAATTACTAATAATATTTATGTAATATTCATTTTGAAGCAGACTATTTATAGATTTAAAAAATACACTTAAAAGGCCGTTGAAGGCCGCAAAAGCTTTCAGTATGCAACGAGGCCATACTACAGTTATGCAATTCAATTCACTTCAATCGTCATACCGGATCATACAGCTATTACCTCCACCGATCTTCTACTTTTTTCATCCTCAATGATAATGTTAAAACTTGTTACTTTTTGTTTAATAAATTAATTTAATGATTTCAATGACTTATCCTGAAATATGTGCGTGCGGGACCTGTTACTGATGCACTTATCTTATTATATTTTAAAGGTTATTTCTCTTTTTAATCATATTATTGAACTACAGTGTTGGGATCTAATTCTCACCTACATGAGTATTATTATAAAGTTTCTTATGACGACTATTGCTTGAGTATTCCAAGTCAATACTAATAATTATGCAAGACTAATAATTCATTTTCATATTAATTACTTAATCAGACAAATCAAACTATTCAATTACGTACCACTAGTAGCGGATTCAGGAATTTTTTTTTTTGAGGAAGTTTTTTTTTCCATTTTTATAACGGTAATTACTCTGGAAGAAAAAAAAAAAATACCTCTCTGAAATTATTTTCACGTGGTCCCTGAGGGCAAAAAATAAACAATGTTATTTACAGGCACAATAATGCTTTTAGAGATAATTATTTCTGAATTTGAAAGAATTTTATATTTCCCATATTTTTCTTGAAAC